TACTGTGCCTATAAATATTTGTTTTTTTTTATGTAAGATGTTGCATGTTTGGAGTGTATAAGTAGCTATTGTATCATAGTATTCATCTTGCTAGTTCTCAGTTTATTATCGTGTGTGTATTTAGAAAATTTGATCCAGTAAATCATTTTGTCACTTCAATAGTCGGTTTCACAGGCTTTTGTAGACAAAAGCGTCTCGTGCTGACTTGGGTAGCGTTAGGATTTATTACAGTTTTCATTCGTATTGCAAAACTGAGATAAGTACCTACAATCATAGATTCGAAATTGTTAATCTTCAATAAGATTGAGCTAAGGTCCAATTTTTAAGAAAAACGGTCGTAAACAATCCTGGTTGTAGGTAAGTGACCATAGTCGTATATACTTGCGATGCAAGAGTATCAAGCTTGAAGTGACTATCCTACCCTGACTTTATCCCCTACCATAGCTAGGAATTGGTCTTGGGGTAGCAGGAGATACCATGTCAAAAATATCAGCTTTCTATCTCTATATAGAATGACGTACGTCAGCTTCCACCGTTGCCATCACCGTCCGGCGAAGTCTTCAGTATGGTTTCATTTCCAACCTTTTGGAATGTTAGCCTAAAAGCGTTTTGTTTTATTTTTAGCACGTGCATTTAAGATTGATCCCCATAGAGCATACGCGGCTAGGAGGGGCTGAAGGCACATACAGCTTTCTCCTTTGACGAGTTGGCTATACAAATTGGAAATATAAACGAGACACAGGATTAATAGATGAATTGTGTCATTGTTTAAGCGTGAGGGTCGTAGTTAGTCTTATTTACAGTTTTATATGTGTGTACGTTAACTCGCGTTCATGCACTGCATATTTCCCGCAACAAAATACAGAATGTTTCGAATAGTATTATTTCGTTATGGCTACTCCCTTCCGTGTTGCTTCTATATTGAACCCTTTTGTCTAACAATCTAAATAATTACTAGCTTGTCTTGGATCTATACATAATTAAATATCCACACACATAACACACACACACACACACACACACACACACACACACACACACACACACACACACACACACACACACACACACACACACACACACACACACCAAACACATATAAACTATACATAATTGGTTGTTTGTAGTTTTCAAGTAACATGTGTAATAATTGCATATTTATTATAATTTTATATTATAGAGCCTGCTTCTCATAACATAGGGTAACCTTATATGAGAGCAGTTCTAATTTTATACAAAAAAAAATATTTGGAATAAAGAAATTTTTGTTTTGTTTTTTGGTTTTTTTTGTCTAATGGCTCAATTACACTTGGTCGTTAGCCGGTATTCTGGTCACGAAAGACATTACGCGAATTCCGGCACCCGAAGCAATATTTACACTGGAATACGGGCTGGAAGACGGTGTCGGGTAACCACAACGAACACTACCCTAATACGGGCGTACTCGACTCCTTTCATTGACACATAGTCGTTTACCCGAATTCCATTGTCACTCGTATTCGGGCTAGCGAGCTAGGTCTCAAAAATTCATCATAATTCTTGGAATCGTTTGACCATAAGAGTTATTATGCAATTTGATCGCAAAGAATCTGATCTGAAGAGGAATAATTAGTTATTTATTCACTGAATCTTTATTATAGCGTAATATTGTAGTTGAAGGCGGATGCTTGCCTTGAGGCATTCTCTACTAGTCATATAGAGGACAACGAAAAGGCGGCACGCTTTATCAAATCAAAGCATAGACAACAATTTACTATAGGCTGATGATGTAACATAGGTTTAATGTTGATCAGCAATAAATCATCTCTATTGTAGTCATCTTTTGTATCAGATATGTTTTTTTGCTTCTGTTCTTGTTGTCGTATTGAGTGGGATGTTAAATGAAAGGGGAGAAAATTCTGGGTGCAAATATAATATACTCTTGGCCCGCCTTCAAGGTGAAGGTGGGTTCCGTATGAAAACTTCGATAATGTAACCCAACGTGTGAAATAAATACCAAAAAGTAACCATAGATTGCGTACTCTGCTGAAGTCATTGACAATAGAGCAGGGTGATGTACTAAAGTTTTATAGAGAACATCAATATTTTCAAAAAAGTCCGCAATACCATATACGTCTTACTATAACAGCTATGTCACAACTAAAAGTTCCCTGCGGTTTCAACCGCGGTAATTTGAGGAAAAAGGTTATAGCAAAGTGAGTCAAACTTAAAAGATGGACATATGCTGTCAAAAATATTTTTGTAGAACTTTTCATGGGGAACAATTCCATCATACATGATTTTTGTGTAACTTTAACTGTTTACGCAGCGCACGCAACGGAAACTCACAATATTATATGGAATATTTTTACCCGTTTTTATAACATTTTTCATCGATGCTCCGCTGCTACTGGTAATATATAGCCTATAGCCTTCCTCGATAAATGCACTGTCCAATACAAAAATATTTTTTCAAACCGGAACAGCAGAGCAAGTTGCATTCGGTACAACGGGTCCTAAACGAAGAAAGTCATTGTGTATAATACAAGCCTTTGAACAAAAACTATAGTCTACACTACAGCTCTACAACGAAGCAAAGCGAGGGCGGGCCGCTAGTATACTATAAATTACAATATTTACCATTTGTATTCTGTGCTTTTAATTATTTCATTATTTATACAAAAAATATTATTTGAGTGTATAAATTTTAATTAAACATTGTATTTTGCCTAAATTCAAGTTATCTGTGCGTATCGATGGCTGTAAGGAAGGATTCAGAGCAGGTAGCAAAAAATATTGGACTGCAGAGCTTACTATTTTATCTATGAATAAAAATTGTACGAAAATATTTTGTATATTTCTGTCGGACGTTTGGTTTTCCACGGTTTATTACAAAAGTTTATTCCTCTTTCTCCGTCTGGTAAGTAATTTGATTAAAAACCTTCAGCTAATTATTACAGACGACCTACGTGGCCGAGTGGTATGTACGCCGGGTTTCATGGTGTCGTCGACTCGAGAGGTCCCGGGTTTGAATCCCGGTAGGGGCAGATTTTTGTGCAATAAATACGAGCATTTGTACTGCAGTCATGAATGTTTAATATGTAATTCTATAAAAATATACTTATATATGTACAGTAAATCAATAAATCAATGTATTATATCTATTAACCTAGCATCCCATAACACAAGCCTTACAGTGCTTACTTTGGGGCAAGGATAATTGGTGTGAGTGTAAAAAAAACATGAACAATTCAATAATGGATAAATTGATAAGTAAAGGTCAATTCAAGTAAAAAAAAGGAAAAAGCGCAACAAATTTATTATTGGATTGCGATGTTGGTAGTTGGGAACAAAAATTAAACGGCCTTGGTTTTCTTTAATATATAATATTTTATTATTTATTTACAGCTTTTGAATAATGGATAAGCGTAGCTGTACTTATAGCACATTCACAGACACTTAAAGCAAACTATCATGCAGATTGCGATAACTTGATTAAAAATTCTCTTCAACTGAATAAATCTGAACAGAAAGTTAATCCAAGAACTTTTATGATCGTTGCAGTTATGGAACAAGTATAAAATATGAGTACATAGAATCGAATGACGATTGCGAATTTACGATGCAAGAGCTAAGAAACTATCACTACAGAGCATAATATTCCAGATGAAAACCTATTAGAAAACGACTAATAGACCGCTATTATGACGACATAGTCAAATCAAGCTTTAGATCCAATACTGTTATGTTTTTTCAAAAAATCAACCATAATATTTTAATTGGATTGGTACAATCAAAAACATAATAATAAGAACCGACCAAATACGAGTTGGACTCGCACGAACGATGGGTTCTGTACTATTATCTATAGTTTAGTTAACTAAACTATTATCTCTACAACAAAAAACATTATTATACATAATATGAAGGAAAAAACAAAATAACACGTTCAAACTAAAGTGAAAAACGTTTGTTGTATGAGAGCCCCAATAGAATAAAATGAATATTTATTTTATTGAAGTTTTAGTAATTTATGTAGCTTTACAACGGGAACAAAATTAAATCATCTGTAAATATAACAACTATCTATAACGGTTCATGAAATACAGCCTGGTGACAGACAGACAGATTGATAGTAGTGGAGTCTTAGTAATGGTGACCCGTTTTCTGCCTTTGGGTAAGGTATTCATATATTAAAGAAGAAGAGTTTCATATATTAAAAGCGGTTGGTGAAATTATTAAAAGGGCCAAAAGAGCCGAAAATGAAAATTATACACCAAGTTGGAACAAATCATATGACAATAACCTAAAGGACTCGCTCATTAAAAAAAAACGAGTGTGCTCGTGACCACACGACTGAAGTCAAACTTCTTTAGAAAGAAAGAAGTTTGATATAAATATATATATATATACACATATTTCATTTACTAGCTATAAGAGAAAGAGAGAAAGAAAATGTGCGCGCGCACTGCTTTCTATTGCTTATATCTCCACTCAACTCCCGTTCACCTCGCCCGAACACACTTTTCATAACGCGTCACGCATTCGCCACCTTACCCCCAAGTTTCACTTCAAAAATCAAGATCACATGATTTTATTAGTAAACTGTTTTATTTAAATATTAGTAGCTATATGTTCCATTTAGAATTTTTAAATTTCATTCCCTGTAGCTCAAGTTTGACGTTTTCATGTTTTAAACGCCCCGAGCGCTACACACCCATGTTAATAAAAGAAGACTAAGCTTGAATTAGTGACTCTATGTTTTGTTACTGTTTATTGAATGACACATTTTTGACTGTGTATACTGTTGGCCGCAGATGACCTTTACAACGTCACCGGGTTTGAGGCCGACGAGATCCTAAGGAGACCTCAAGCCGAGAATTGGCGAGTGCCTCTAGAGGTATTCCAGGCGGATGGCATCTCCCCACGGGGAAGTCTCCTCTCCGTCTGGAGCCTCTAGACCACTCGAACCTGAGGGGTTCGGCTCAATTAGAGGGCGTCTCTGAGACTCGGATCTCGGCTCTAGTAAGCCGTTGTCGTGGCAGGCGGGGAAAAACGCCCAGGTACGTACCTGTCGCTGGTATAGCGTGTCGTGTGTAGACCGGGTCTTCGCACTCTTATCGTACGGGTGCAGTTTCTGCCTAATGCTAAGCTAGTGTGCAAGTATGCTAGCTGTGTAGTGTTGGTGTTTGTGGCCTGTGTGGGAGGAGTCAAGGTGCGTTGGCGTCGATGATTTCGTCTTCGGGGTACCTACTCTAAGATGTGCCTAGGCCGATGGAATTGGAAGGATTTAATGACAAATGGCACTTGAGTGATATGAACAAAACACGACGTAACTGGTCTATGCTCATACCTCGTTTACTAATAAGGGAGTAAAAATCTAAAGAATTTTCTCACTCCAACTTCAAGACCAGCGCTGGTGGCGACATCAGCATTGTGCTGAGTTGGGACCGCTTTGGGACCAAATTTTAGATTTTCGTCTTTGTTCAATATACTTATACATCGTGAATTTTGTATCATATACGTGCGAACAGTTATAGACTCTAAACGTAGTATACACTCATACAGAAATATTGATTGATATCGTTTACAAAATAGCCTAAAATAGTGCAAATTTGTAAATAACATACCTATTATGAAATTATTGTCCGTTTAAAGTACCTCTACATAGAATCTAAAAGTAGATTTATTTGAATCAATTCATAACACATCAAGTGTTAAATGTTTCAATTACAAAAAAAAAACATTTTTAGGCGGAAATATAATCTGAAAAGCATTCGTAGCCAACTCAGACAATGTCTGAATCTATCCTATGTCTCAATCCAGGTCGCAAACTATATGTGCACCAATGCATCAAATTTCATTCAAATCAGTTCAGTAGTTATTGCGTGATTGAGTATACTTGCAAAATTTCACATTTATAATATTAGTAGGATTTTATAGAAGTCGCAACAAATTACCCAACCCTACCTTATGTTAAGTGTAAGTTGAGTCCAGTCGCGAAGATACGGCAGGTGACGATGATGCGGCAGGTATGCCACTCCAGCTATCCTCATCTTGCCGGCCTGAACCCAATCCCCTACCCCGCAGAACCCTGGCTCCCTACTCACCAGCAGGAAGCTGGTGGCTGCTTCTCCAGACGGCTGCTCCAATGCAAGCGGAAAATCCGCTATGCGCTATCTCTCTTAAAATTATGTATGCTATGTTTCAACTAAAGTTATTTTACTTTCATTTATTTCCACAGAATACATAATATAGTCTCACTCCTATACTTGTTTAATACTTGGTTTTTCCTTATGGGCTTTTGTAGTAAGTTTTGCCAGAATATACTAGCAACGTAACGTACTTCTAAAACAGAGATCTAGTTGGTATTTGTTTCCTATTTTTATGAATTTAACTTATATTATCGTGTATAGTGTATTTTGTCTACATAATAATTGTTATTAATTCTAGGTAGGTATTGAAGAACTGTTTTGAAGTTAACTTTCCTTTTTCTTCTGCATTTTGGGACCAACAGAGCAGGGTATACGTTTATAGCTTCCATTTACTTATAATATCTCTTAATACATCCTATATTTGCCTCGATCATTAGTGTGGATAGTAGAAAACCGTAAGCGTTTCTTCTCAATGGCCTACATGGAGTGGAAGTGCGTTACAGCGTTCATTCACAACTCCAGGTGAAACCATCTCGTTTCACATTCGGCATGCGCTACCGCCGAAGATTGTAAGCATTTTTTATACCACCAAGAGTGGGATGGTCTTACGTTTGAGTACGTTTTTCTAATGTGTGAGAGTGAGATACATGACTATATATTTTTTTTCTACTTCGAGAGCGTAGCTGCGGCGTCGAGATGAGGCGGTAATTAATTTGATCATTCGGTGTACGTTGCCGCAGCGGTTAGTGTGGTCCGATGGAGCTTTTGATGATTTTTCGATAAAAGATACGTCATTGTGATATCCATCTGGCTAATTATTGATTGATAGGTTTTGCCCGCAACTTATCCGTGCGGAAATCTAATGTACCATGAGACGCTGTGTCATTACGCATGACCTTTGTAGAGCGCAATTTAGGAGGTGGTATAATTGATTATTATATAGTAAAATTCTAGTTGACTTCATATAAAAGGTATTAGGCTTAATATAAAATGAAAGCTCGGATCATTCCAAATTTCTCTAAAAATATGAAATACCAAGATCACAAAGTTTCTTAGACGATGGTAGAGACATTTTAGTGTTAACGGTATTCGTTCCGTAAAAAATATGAATATATTTATGTAAATCTAATTGTACAAAATCTTATAAACAGCAAAATGGATTTTTTAAAAGATTAAAGTTTTTGATTATCATTTTCTTATTTGAACTGAAAATAGTAACTGTTATTCTAGTAAATAGTTCTTTATATTTCAGTTGTGTTTCAATTCATGATCACACCACGAGATAACCGCAATGAATAAGTTGTCGGTTTTTGGAGAATTATTAGTAGAAGTTTGTCGTCAAGAGTAGAGATGCCAAGAAGCCAGCAGCTCTATCGATGTCGATACCACTTTCCACCTGTCACTACCCGCGGGGGCCGGGCGGCAGGTGCCAGTAGACGCGGCGGCGCGCCAGTCTCCCGTGGCCACCGCATTAACTGCACGTCGCGCGAACGCATCTCACCTATATCGACAATTCGACACGTGCGTACCTACCGCAACCCTATTTTGTTGTTCTAATTCCAAAAAAGTGTTGTGCACTTGTGCTACGAAGGATTATAACCTCGTCCGATCCAACGGTGAGTTTTTTTTCACGGATTACATATCTAGGTTATGTTTTGGTCTCGGATAATACAGAAATACCAAAGTTTAACGAAATAACGTGTTTCTATCATTCGCGACGGTGGAAATCGCGTCTTTTTGATGTTAAACCGAAAAGTATGTTAGTGATACGGTGTTGAGTATTGTTACTGATTTTAAACGCTATAATATGGTGTAAGCGAGAGTTAGAAGCTCTTTAGAGCTTCAGTGTGTGAACCGTCTGGTTTTCCACGTGATTTTCTTATCGCACGGTGAAATGAGGATTTAATGATAATGCATTTTCTCATTGAACTTTTTATTACGAAGTATCTCATTGAAAGTTCAAGTGCTGTTTTAATTTATTTGCATTAAAGAGATTCTTATGGAGACAGATCACCTCCGATAAGGAGATAAGGCATCAACTATTCATTAAACCCCTTATTAATAAACAAGGAATAAGCTTAGACTAGTTACGCCATGTTTGGTTCATGTCACTGAAATGCCATTTGTCATTCAATAGGCAGAGACAAAACATGGTGTAACTAATCCACGCGTAGTCTTCGTTTATTAATAAGAGGGTAGGGGATAAGGTGTCAAAAGCGACGTACAAAAGACATGAACGCGTTCGGGATGCATACTTGACCAGCAAGTAATGCCTGGGTCAGCTGTAGGAGCATGTTTGTATGAGAGTTTCGGTTTGGGGCTATCACAGTGACTCGGCTTTTTTAGTAATATATTATTATATAGTATAGTACATAAGTGACCTAAAAAGATACAAGAAAAAGCTTTGTTTTAAAGCATTGAAAGAATTGAGTTTCCTCTTAATGTATGATCATTACTCATAGATAAAAGCTCTAACATACAACAGAGGATTCTTCATTTAATACTAGTTTATTAAGAAAATTTGTAAGGTCTCGGTTTAAAGCAATCAAAGTTTCTGTTAAGTGATTAAATTAAACACAGATCAAAGTAGTGCACTCTGATATGTATTTAATCACTTAACAGAAAGTTCACGTACACTTTCTTCACTATTTGTTTTCAAAATTACGTAATATATCGGATATATATTTAATTGAATATTGCCTAAGTGCATTATGATATAGTTCAGATCAAGAAAGGGAGACCAAATAAAAGTTGCTTTAAAAACTTGAGAACAATTTTAATGTTCTTATTAATAAATAATTAACTTTGTACTACAACCATCCGATATTTACATTGAAAATACACAGATTTCCCTTTTCATTATTCAAGTCACTAGATATTGAAGCTATAATCTCATCAAGGATGATAAGAATACAGTTTGGCGCTTATGATACACAGGACTATAATGGGTACTGTAACTAGGGATGCCAGATGGCCGGGAAATCCGGGATTGTCCCGGAATTGTGCGTCTGCTCCCGTGTCCAGTAATTAGACCTTACTGTCCCAGATTCCGATACTGTGCTAGTTTCGTAACAAAATAAACTAATAACGAATGACACCTCTGGCCTGCTTGATGTCATTCAGATTCAGATCACCCCCCAGAATTAAATCTGGGGTGCAATATGGGGGTTTGAATTGATGCTTGATTTTTTCACGGGGGAGGGGAGTGCAAATGTCCTGGAATTGATAAGCCAGCATCTGGCAATCCTAACTGTAACGCCCGCAACGTTACCATCCATTTACTTATTTATTTTTTAGTGAAACCGGATGAAATAAAAAATAAATATTGCAAAAGATTCAAACTTAATGAATGCGGTAGCTTTTGTCTGAATTCAGGTGACGGCATTCTAAAAACGGGCGTAGAATGGACAACATTGGGTGTTGTAGTAGAGAGAAGATAATACAGAAAATTGTTGAAAATCCAGTGTTTTGCATACAGTTGTATTGAAGTTTAGAGGACATTCTCTGCAACCTGGAGAACGTTGTACTTACATTTCTTAGATATATTTTTTAGGGGACTGGATAAAATTGGATATTTATATTTTAACGCACAGTAATCATTTACATAATGCATCAGTCATTAGATTTGATTTCACATTCTTATTGATTTTTCTAATAATTTTCAGGCATCGCGGTCTCAAGGACCACAATGATAAAACAATGAAGTACCTACATACCTTTATAAAATATTTAAATACGTAACATTTAATTATGTACCTACTTAATTTACTATTATTAAAAAGGACATTACTTTATATAAAAATACAGAATAACGATTTCTGAAAAGTAAAATTCCCTTAACTACTTATTCGTTTAATTTTAATATAATCATTTTCCATATGGAATACTTGATAGTAAACGGACTTACTTTTTTATTTAATTTATTTAATAGGTTTACCAACAATTGTAACACTTAAGCAATTACAATTATAGACAAGGAGACACTTATATCAATGTTACAATCAATTATAAGTAAACACCACATTTCACCATATTGAGATCAAACAATAACTGTTAAAATTTTACAATTAAGTACATATATGTTGTTTTAACTAAAAGAGAGGTGTAACACTTAAGCAATTACAATTATAGACAAGGAGACACTTATATCAATGTTGCAATTAATTATAGGTAAACACTACATTTACCATATTGAGATCAAACAGTGTTAAAATTTTATATGTTGTTTTAACTAATTACAAAAATAAAGGAGCTTTAATTAAATAAAATTCATCTCATGCACTCAGTCCATCAAGTTGCTACTAATATTATAAAAGCTTATAAAAGAGCAAGCTAATAAATTACGGTTATCCCTGTTAGCTGTAAGGAAAAAGGCAGTTTTTGCTTCTAATTCGCCGTAACTATGTTAGTGTGAATTCCTATACGGTCTGAAAGTTTATCACGGTGCTGTTATTCAGGTTAATAAACAATAATACAGTTGCATCGAACCATTAGATTTACATGAGAACGGATTACAAACTGTATGTACGGTAAAGTGGCGTTTTTAGCGCGATTAATTGTTTTTAATAATCAAGAGATTTTTGGTATATTTTACATCTTTGTGTTGTTTTCTTAAAATAGTAGTGTGTGTAGATAGAAGATTTAGCCAGCAATGGCTGCCCTTGCAGGTTTTGTACGTCTTTAGTTATACAGCTTTTCACAAAAAAAAACTCTCTTAAAAGTTACTCAGACACATTTAATCGTTATCACTTAATTCGCATAAAACATGTAAGTACTTCTATAATTATATGTTCATCATCATCATCATCATCAGCCTATTAATGCCCCCACTGCTGGCGCACAGGCCTTCCCTATGGATGGATTAGGGAGATTGGGCCATGATCCACCACGCGGGCCCAGTGCGGGTTGGTGGATGCTAACGACTGCAGATGCAGCCGGGACCAACGGCTTAACGTGCCTTCCGAATCACGGAGGAGCTCCAAATTTTTGGTCACCCATCTAATGACCGACCACTGCGAAAGTTACTCAACTTCAACGACCGCAGCCGATCGAATAATATGTTACAAATAATTTATAGTTATCTCCACATGTTTCGATTTTACTTTACATATTAGTACGAAAGTGTTTATCAGACTAATATTATAAATGCGAAAGTTTGTGATTGTTTGATATTGACATTCATCCGTGATTCTTTTTATACCTGCATGCAAAGTCTCAGTCCGATCGGTTTAAAATTGACAAAGTTTCATACAAACTTTCATTCCCTATTTTATCCCCTTGGGGGTAGAATTGATCAAAATCCTTTCATAGCGGATCTACGTCATAACATCTACCTGCATGCCGAATTTCAGCACGATCCGTCCAGAGGTTTGGGCTGTGCGTTGATAGATCACTATGTCAGTCAGTCACCTTTGAGTTTTATAAATATAGATATTAATACAGAAATACATATTTAACATCCATGACTGGAGTACAAATGCTCGTATTCATCACACAAACATCTGCCCCCACCGGGATTCGAACCCAGGACCTCTCGAGTCGGCGACACCATGAAACCCAGCGTACAAACTACTCGACCACGGAGGTCGAGGTCGGTGTAATTCAATGAAAAGGTACAAAATATTGAGTAATACATGCATAATATAGTAGAGAAACACTAATAATTTTAGAGGTTTTTTAATGTAAATTAACACATTTTTTTGCGCTTAAGCAGCAAACGCTGGCTGAACCCTACGAGATGTATCAAAATAATGTACTACAGTATTGTACACCTTAAAAAGGTCTACAAAAAAGTCCGCAATGGTATATGTCAGCAATATAACATTCATCCTTATCCAATTAAGTACCTTAAATACATTGTGCATTTAATATAGACCAATTTGGCCCTTTAACGCATGTAATTTAAATGAATATTTTCGAAGATAAGATTTCAAATGTAGGGATATAGCGGTTCCTATTGTAATTAGGTATTAGAAGAATGTCATTGTGTATATAATACAAACCTGAGAACAAAAACTATAGTCTACACTACAGCTCTACTCCGAAGCGAAGCGAGTGCGGGCCACTAGTACAGTATAAAAACAGTGTTCAATTAGGTATTGGGAACGAAAGTATGATAATCGTTACACATAAATAAAGCTTCATTAGGCCGTCACACACATAAATGCGAAATAATAAGGAAAAACAAAATTAAGCTAATATGGCATATTATGTATGTGTTATTTATCCTTAATACTAATTTACAGGACGGTTTCTTTGATTTTTATATGAACGGGTAAAAGTTAATAACGACATACTGTCAGACTACCGTTTCTAAATGAACCAATTATTAATTTCCCATTAATTATCTCTATGTGACTTATAACTTTCAACGTACATCTAATTAAAAGTGATCAGTTCTTCCTCTATTTGATACTGTAACTTATTTCTGATTAAGCTCGTTTAGATGTTGCTGCAAGTTCGTTAAACATAACTTAAAAATGGTATTTCTGTGGCTTTAATAATGGTAGCTCAAGAGAAAATATAATAAAACAACATGCTCATGTTTTTATGATGGCATCATACTGTGATGATTATTAATTAGTATAACTTTATATAGCGGAAACTTTTATCATAT